GAGGGGGCGCGTCGCGGAGCCGCCCCCGCGTGAAATTGGGGGCGCGGGGCCTGGGGAGGGCACAGAGACACGGTCTCGCCAGTAGTCGCTTATTTCAGGTTACTTTTATTAGAAAGTTGTTTCAAATTCAAGACAGAAAAGCTGGCAAAACGCCACTTGAGAACACACTAGACTAAAATGAAGTGAAAGCTGATTTCAGCAACAAAGTTGGGTTTTTTTCCTCTCGAAGAAAGCTGCCATAGAGGTAATTCTGCTACAGACTTTGTGGCATAAACCGATACGCCAGTTCTGTCCAAAATCAGAATTTGTGCTATAGAAACAAATCCGTTATATTGTAAGTGGTTTGTGTTTTGGAGAACCTCGTGGCTGGAGCACCATTAGAGAGGAAGAAGTAAGATTGCAAAGCTTGCTTTATGTACATTTTTTTTTTTTTTTACATGCTGTTAATCAGTAGCCTCCAAAGGCTGTAAAATACAGCATTTGAACGTTTAAGATAACTCAATTTCTTTTTCAATACCTACGAAATATACATGTGAAAGGGGAGACCTTATCACCACGTTCCAGTATTTAAAGGGCAGCTACAAAGAAGATGGAGACTCCCTTTTTACAAGGAGTCACATGGAAAAGGCGAGGAGTGATGGGTACAAGTTTCTCCAGGGGAGATTCTGACTGGACACAAGAGGAAAATTTTTCACAATGAGAACAATCAGTAATTGGAATAATCTCCCCAGGGGAGTGGTGGATTCCCCTTCATTGGGCACTTCTAAGATTCAGCTGGACAGGGTGCTGGTCCTTCTTGTCTAGACTGTGCTTTTGCCAAGAAAGGTTGGACCAGATGAACCTGGAGGTCCCTTCTAACTTGGTATTCTATGATTCTATGACATATATTTTGCTACAAAACTATCACTGTCAGTATGAAGAAAAGTGACACATGAATCTTCATTGTAAGGATATTACAAGGCTGTGCTTCATCAGTTCCTGAGCAATCTCTGCGAGATATCAAAACTGGCTGAGGTTTTCCTTTAACAAATGAAGCTCCCAGTGAAGTCAGTTACTTAAAAATTAGACAAGGGAAATGCGAATAATGATATTTAGAGATATAATAAGGGCATGAACAATTTACTTCTTTATGCTTCAGAACAAACCGTTTGACAGGAGAAGAAAATGTCTGAGATGTGCTTTCAGAATTATCACCTGGAGGGATTTGATAATTTGTCACTTGCTTCTGAAACAGGTACAAGGGACAGGATTAAATGGGTTCTTCCACTGAATTATATGGCAGTTACTATGTATCTGGTGCATACAAGCATTGGAGTTTGTTAATTAATTCCTGGCATGCGACCCTGGCGCATGAACTGTATTTGAGGAAGTTTAGATACTGGTTTGGATTTAGTTACCTTTGAAAAGCTTTCTTATTGAAGACATATGGTGGTGCTGCTCGGAAATGATTTTGTACTTCTGACAAAGATCAAAGATTTTGCACTTTCAAGAGCTGAAATGAAAGAGCAGCAGCACAGTAAACTGTGGGCACTACATATCCAGTTTCAACAGCCATAACCCTGCCTGTGACATTTGAGCATTTAAAAAGGGCAGCTCAAGCTAGTCAATGGAAATTAGAGTTGTTAACTAGCTATGATCTAAAAGCAACAGGAAAGAATTCTTACAGCTTTGATGGGGAAAGAACAGCTGTATTTTATGTCCCTTAATAAGTTACAAAAGACTTTCAGTTACTAAGATGCAGAGAAAACTGCAAATGTACTATGCACTTCACAACAGCAGGAAATAACAAAAGAGGCTGAATCTCTGGATTCTGTTAAAGGCACTAGTAGATGCTTAACATATTGATTTCCAGCTTAAATTACACCAATAACTTAGAGAACTAAACCAGTAACTGGTATTATTCCGTTTCTGATATTCAGTGCAGGTATCCCCTATACTTAAGTAGCAGTAAACCCTGGAGTGTAAGCAGTAATTATGCTCAGAAAAACAAATGCACTGTTCAGAGGATTAAAAAAACCAAACACAAACCCAAACCACTTCAGCAGTTAGGTTGTTCAAGTCTGAATTTACAGGAGGTTTCTTTGTACCACTCTTCCCTGTTTTCATAAGGCACTTAGATGTTTTTGTACTTCTTGGGGAGTGGGGGACTGGGGCAGCAACAGAAGTTTCTGCAAGCTGCCCTTTTTATTCAGTGCAGGAGTGGGCATTTTCCAACTTACTCAAGAAGCAGTAAACAAATCAAGTAGTGAACTCTGGTCCTATCGCTACGCTCTGGTGCTACAAATTTGAAGAATTAAAACCAATTGTAGATGTGATGTGTAGATGTGTTTGAAATAGATAAAATACTGTAATTAAGAGGGGGAGCGCAACAGAAGGAAATAGCTTTATTTGCAATAAGTTTCTATCCCTGTAGAGCAATAATCTTGGAACCTGAACCACTGGCTTCCCTATTGTGCTATATTTACTGGTTTTCCTGGAAAGCTGTCTTGCTCTGAATGGCAAAAATGACACTATACACAGGTTTCTTCTTTCTCTCAGTATTACCTTGGGAGAAAACACCCCAGTTGTATACTATCCCATTACCTATTTAGAGCAGAGCTAGTTGTAGTGACAGTCTCAGGTGTACCTGGGATCCAGGAAATTGCTTTGGCTATGTCAGTTGTTTGCTGTGAGAAACTTACTTTCCTAGTTTCAGCTTGAGACCCTCATGGATTTGCTGCCAGTGTCATTCTCCCAGTTCAGCCTTTCTTAGGAGCAGACAGCAGATGAGGGCCTATTTCCTGGTCTGACGCTTGCAGAATAAGGTCCCAGGCCCTACTTCTACTTGGCATCCTTAGCTAATCAGCTGTGAACAAAGTGATACAAGCCTAACTCCTCTTCGGCATACAATATCATGTCTCCCTGTCAGCTGGGTACCTGCAGCTAGGCCCAGAAACTGCTCAGTTGGCGGTGCCTGCTGCATACCCAGCACTTAGTGCACAGCTGTTGCAGTTTGTGGTTGAACAATTTGAAAAGAGAGATTTATGCAAAAGACAGCAAGATGTGTCGATTAAATCAGATAGATGAAACAGTGACGCTATTTTCAATCCTGAAGTAACAGAGAAGTGATGGGAGTTGGCGTTTCATTGGGAAATGAGATAAATATCACAAGGGATGTATATTCCACACAAACATGCACACTAGAATGCACACATATTCTGAAATCCCTTTCCATCGTGTTTCAGTGGAATAAAGACCCCAAGACTGGTAAATGCCAAGTCCTGTTAGACATCATGGACCATTTCAATGAGCTGAACTTTTCCCTGTCATGTACGGAACAACTGCATCAGAAATCTGAACTAGTGATCATCAGAGAGACAGAGCTGCTATGTGGCTATTGTTAGCAAAAAGCTGTTCTCTGAAATGGTGAATTATCTCAAGTAAGCCAAAAATTTAAGAGATTCTGAGCCTTTGATGTAATTTATTTTCCCATCCTGGGGACAATTTTTCTACCTTCTAGGCTGTTTTAAAAAGAACATTCTCTTATGAATAAATATGACAAATAGAAAAATAAAAATATAGAAACAAACTATGTAAACGTAAGCCCTGAGGTATTTCTAGCACACAGTGTAATTTTTATACCTGACATGCAATCTAAAGGTGCCAGTAAGAAAATTTACTTTATGGCTCTGTAAAAACATCCCTTCTTTATTTCCTGCCTTACACCTGCAAGAAAGGGTGAGAGGTTGAGGTAAGAGCCCCATAGAAGCTGTGATAGTCACAGAAGCAGAAACAGAGGATATTAAAGTGCTGCGTGTCTTTCCCTGACCATTTCCACTCTTCAGTTGGCTTCCATAGGCCAGTTGAATTCTACAGAGTATCTGACAAAGCTGCTGCTTTTCTGGATATAGGTTCCGCTCCTGCGCCAGCATATATACCATATAGAGTCTTGCAGGATAAAGGGACTTCTGAATAAAGAGTTTAGTGGCCCCTTTAACTTGTAGATTTTTTAAATTTTTGTGCGTGTGTGTGTCTCAGGCTAGCTTGGGAAGCTTAAGCACACTTTGTACTGCAATTGCTCCCAAATGACTGCCATCTTCCCACCTCTTTCCCCCTCTTCCTTTAGCCTGGATCTCCTTGGACATGTTTTCTCCCCCAGAGCTTTCTGCATTTTCATCAAGGGTCCAGTCCTAAAAAAAAAAAATAATCCAGTCTCTGCATGACAGTGAAGCCAGTGGGTCTGCTCACATGAATTAAAGTTTGCTGGAGCATAGGCCCTGAGGCATTAAATAAAGTCCAATTTTATTAATTCTACTGTATTTAGACTTTGGAAAGAACTGTTACAAAATGGGTCACAGGTCTTACTTTTTAAAATGGCATTTGTTCCTTTGCTGATTCTTGGTAAACAGAGGCTCGATATGAAAGGGTTTCAAGCACTGTATACCTGTGGGGGTGTGTACGCTCTTGCATAGTGAGACTCTGGAAGAATATGCATGCAAGCATGCACACACAACATATTCCATTTGCACATACTTACCTAAACACGGTACTGCATATACAGGTACCTGCTCATGTGCATAGATGTTTGTGAGGAGAAATATGCATGTGCTTACACAATGTCTACCGGGGTGTAAACTCTTAATTGCACATATACAAACATTAAAAATCAAATTAGTCTTAGATGCACCTTTGCTTTTTTTCATTAAAAAGGACATTTTTAAACCCTTCTTTGTTCACTTTGGTTTTACTGTAACTAATACAATTCACCTGCTCACCTAATGGGATATTTTCCTTTCAGTATGTTAAAACACTAATTAAAATGCATTACAGTTATTAAATTGGGTAGAAGAGCACTTCTTGTAAAGCTTAGTCTGGAACTCCTGGGACATAGTTGTGCAGTGAAAGTTTTAGATCATGTCTCTTGTGTTACGGATCGCACAGCACAGAACCATGCTGAATATCATGCCAAAGATCTAGAAGAGAAGGGATGCAATTTAGGGATCCACTTACAAAACAGTTATTAAATAGTCTGTATATCAGAACAATCTGAAGGTTCTTATGGCAGAGTAGCAAGTGACTGCTTCCATCTACAAACCCCAAGACATCAGACAATTATCATTAGAGATTTCGCTGATACCCAAAGCCGAGGTTTTATCTGCTTACACTAGTTTCGCTGTTCTTTGTTCTAAATGTTAAGGCCCGCATAACAGCCCCAAACATTAATATTGTTAACATAAATTTCAGTGACATCGATAACTGTGACTATTCGTATTCTATCTAGTATTGCACCAAAGGCTTCTGAGTTTCAGAATGCTTCTACATGGAATATTGTATATGCATTTGAATAAGAGCAGAGAACGATCCCAGCGAAATGAGGTCTCTGGAACTGGCGCTGAGCATTGCGGTTTTACAGAGAAAGCTAAGCTCTTAACTGTTACTACTCAAGACCAAGACTAGGCATTAAATATAAAACTCTGTTCATGTTAGGGAACTAATTAACTAGAGGAAACGTTAAAAGCAGAGAACAGCGGGTATTGCTGGAGTCTCCAGAAATTTCTTTTTTGCCACAGGTTGATTCTCCGAAGAAGTTAGCAGCTACCTCCTGATGCTTCGTTGCTAGTGATGGGAGATGAGCAATACTATCAGGCAGTTAAACCACTGAGTTCATATGCCCTCCCCACACACCTCCCTAAGGAAGAAGGAGACAGCTGGTCAGTCATACCCCATGAAGTGTCAGAAACAAGCACAGAAAAACGTGCAGACGTGTTTCTGCTGCTGACGAGGTTATAATTTCATAACTTCTGCTCTATCTGAGGTGGGAAGCCATAGAAGAGATGTTCGTATTTCTAGTATATTCTTGTTGAGCAGAGAGGCTATTGGAACTCTGTCCCACCCATGTTGCTTTGCTGTATTTTTGAGTACACCTTCACGTTTTATACAAATCACAGGATTGTTTAATCCCCTTTACCCACGCTGTGGTTTCTGTTACGTACGTAAAGCCTTCATCTGCTTTTAAGCATCCACATAAGTCCACGAACCTCCTGCTCTTCAGACAAGCTAAAGGTGTATTTCTCTACTAATATTCTAGCTCCTTATGCTGCTTCAAACTGCTGTTGGTTTCTGAATCTGAAGGAAGTCATGGCACACACATGTTGGAAAATGCTTTCTGTTAAAGCCTGTGTTTGATACAGACTGCCCGCTCCTGCCATATTCTTGCAGCAGAGTGACATCTATTGGTCACAGCTCTGTCACGAAGGAGCAGACCTTGGGCATACAACAATGCACACTTATGGGAGAAGGTGGACTGTAAGAAATGTTATCCACACTTTGATGACATGATTTGATGAAACAGCTACCTGTAACTATGTGCTACGTATTTAGGAAAGAAATACTGTTCTGAAAACTATGCATTTTAAATCCTGTTCCTTTAACAAAATACATACTGATCACTGGATCTACAACTCAGAAAATCTGTTTATAAACCGTCCTTCACATTGAACCAATTCTACAGCCAGCATTTTCCTGGAAAGCCATTTCTATACAAAGGGTTCGTACTGTCTGTTCCTTATGAAATCTAAGGAATGAATCCTCAAAGGGCTTAAAGCATCAGTCTGCAGCTGTTTTGGAATAGATGAAATGCTGCTACAGCCTTTTGCTTTTCAGTTTGGCTCATGTGAACGCCGCTTTCCTACTATTACAACAAAATAAGATTAACCATTGGATACTTTGGATGCTGTCTAAGGACACAAAATAAACCATTGGATACTTTGGATGCTGTCTAAGGACACAAAATAAAATGGTAAAACAAAGTCATGCCAGTCTGTTTGCGCCAATGTGGGTGATTCCCAGTAAGAAGACATACTGCAAGTGATAAGAATAGCTGCACCTTTGAGGAATCTCACTAGTTGCTGCAAAACACCTTCCACAAAGCTTTGAGTAAGGGACAGGGTATTGGGCTCAAATATAGACTTGAGAGTGAGAACATGGATTTACTCACTGTGATGCCAGCAATTGCAATTCCAACAATTCCAACTAAATGCAAATTAGCATCAATTACATTCTGGATTTCAACGAGGCAGTTCTATTAAAAACAAAATTGAAAGATTTTTACTCCTAAAAAAATATACTCCAACCAATTCCATCAGCTGTTCTCACTAAACAACACATAAACATGAAAAATATTATTGCAGTCACTGTCCTAATTCATGTATCTATGCCTTGTGTTTTGTTGGACAATTTTCAAAGTATATTCCCTTTTCTAGTGAGGTATCTGTATCTCTTGCCTGTACGTGCTGACACATACAAGTCACAGAATCCCAGAATGGTGAGGGTTGGAAGGGACCTTCGGCGCTCACCCAGTCCCACCCCCGCCAGAGCAGGGGCACCTATAGAAGTTGCACAGGACGGCGTCCGGGCGGGTTTGGGATGGCTCCAGAGGGAGAGACTCCCCCACCTCTCTGGGCAGCCTGTGCCACTGCTCTGCCGCCCTCACAGCAGAGAAGTTCCTCCTCATGTTGAGACAGAATTTCCTGTGTTCCAGTTTGTGCCTGTTGCCCCTTGCCCTGTCACTGGGCACCACTGAGAAGAGTCTGACCCTGTCCTCTTGACACCCGCCCTTTAGGTATTTGTAAGCATTGATGAGATCCCCTTCTCTCTCTTCTCTTCTACAGGCTGAACAAACACAGGGCTCTCAGCCTTTCCTCTCAAGAGAGATGCTCCATTCCCTTGATCATCTTTGTAGCCCTCCACTGGACTCTCTCCAGTAGTTTCTTGTCTTTCTTGAGCTGGGGAGCCCAGAACTGGACACAGTGCTCCAGATGTGGCCTCACCCGCGTAGGGTAGAGGGGGAGAATGATCTCCCTCCACCTGCTGGCCACGCTCTTTTTAATGCATTTGCTTACAATCAGTTTTCCCTAAGTTTAAAAGTCTGTACATGATAGGCCATGCTAAATTAGTTTGGCCCTTCAGATTGACATTGTATGCACGAGCAGATCCCACAAAAGACAGAAATAACAGTATCCTTCTTAGCACCAACAAAGTTGCTAGTCAGGAGTCCCCATTCACGATTAAGGCAGGCACTTGGCAAAATTCAGCCTCCATGGGGCTTTTCATTTAGAACTCCTGTTCTGCTATGTCCTTCCCACTTTTCAGATGATGTAATATTGTCCCAGCTGCTGTGGGGTGCTACAAGCAGGCTTCAGAAATGAGGGCTGGGCATATTCAATATTATATCTGATTTATTTTTGCCTCCACTTTGCTCCATTTCATATGGAATTTCATGCTGGAATTTGCAAGGTAAAAAGGAAGTTCTTCCTTTCTTTTACATCTAGAATGTCTCCAATTTTACTAAATAATTGACATGAAAAAGTGATTACAAAAACCAGAACAGAGGACACTTGCCTTCTGGATATTCTCTGGACAGGGTAATCCCATTCGTTGTTCCATATTATCTTTACCACAGCATTGGAGCTAAATGAGAGAGAGACAGAGATATGAAGAATCAAAGAAGGGGAAGCCATAGACTTCTTTCATACTGAAAGTGAGACAATAAATAACAAATAAAAAAGAAACAATACAGATCAAGTCATAAATTTATTCCCTGTATTAACTGCTACCTCTGGTAGAGTTTCAACTGCGTGGGCCAGAATTCTCAAAAATCACTTTCAATTGTCTGAGGCCATAGCAAACAGACAAATTTGTATTAACAACAACATCCAGAAGGGATTTTTATCACAGTATCTCATAACAAAGCAAACAAGTGGATTTTGGAAAAGGAAATCCCTGGCTTACAAGGAAACAGGAGTTGTTAAAGGGAGAAAGCAGAAAGTCCAAATAGTGCATATAGAATTATGGGCAATGCACAAAAGCTGCAACGGAGAATGCTAGAATCTTTATTTCTGATAAAACATAGTGCTGGGTTTGGAGACAGTAATAAATCAGAGTGTTTCAGAGGGTTTGTTTTTCCTGTTTGCCTGTCTCCCACAAAATGCTTGAAATGCCTCTTGGGGTCAGAAATAACAGCTATGGGAGTAGGACAAAAGGGTCTGAGGTTGTGAAATGTTTCTTCTAAAGAACGTGGGAATGCTGTAAGGAGCAACAAAGCTTGGGCTTGATCTCTCTGGGAGGCAGTGCAGATACAGGATGGATACAAATAGGATTCAGGAAGTCACAGTTTCTGATTCTGATTCAGACACTAACTTTTTGGGTGGCCCAAACTGAGTCACAGATGTGCTTTTGGTTCTTTACGTTCTTGGTTCAGACAGTGGCAGGATCTGCCATATTGTAGGTCCTGGGACATGGGTTACAGTTTTTCTCTGGCAAATGCATAGAGATTCAGACCTTTTCACCTCTCACTGCATTTGTGAGTATTTATTCTTGGATTTTAATATCCAAAAGGGCCATAATAGTCCTATCTTCTGCTCAACAAAGACCAGAAGCATCAGCTGAAATTTAAAAGCCTGGCCATTTTCACTTTCAAAGGTAGGAGTCACTTGGGATCTGAAAAACAGAATTCTGACAGACACATCAGGAAACCAGGTTGTGAGCCTCTGGCTCCATTTTAAGGAAGGTTCAGTTCTATTCTTTCATACCTGAGTGGGAACCATTCTGGATTTTAAAGGGTAATGTGACAGTAGAGTAGTAGTGCAAGATATTAAAGCTCAGGAGGACTACTCACAGCCAAGTGGTAGCGATAGATAGTGCTGTTGACCTTTCCTCCTGGGTTTTTCATATAGTCGTCATAAACATCTTCATAGATTTTCTGGGCTTCCTGTATTGCCTGAAGAAATCAGACTTTCCAAGTGAGTGGCAAGTAAGTCTTACCCCTAATCCAGTGCAGACTTCCAGCCTGTGTCATCAACCTCCAGAGCAGAAAATTATGCATGGTAAACTAAGGTACCATGATTGGAAATATAGGAGGTTTTGTGGCCTGACGGCATTCAGGGAACTCTGCATGAGTCAGAATGTACACATGCTGTAGTTCTGTGTTTTGGTTAAACACTGTTATTTGGAGAAATTCAGTGCTTGGATTTGTTTGCCCTTTTCCCAAGCGATACCCTCTTATATAGTTCGACTGACTTGACGTTCCTTGTGGGTTTAAGGTTGAACCACACCTACAGATTTTCTTTAATAGGGGCAAAAACTGCATCCCATTCTGGACTTGTGATAACACAAGCTTGTTATTGACTCCAGATAAGAATGTCAGAGAGTCTTCCTGGGAAAAGTCTCCTGGAAACTTTTCCTATGCAAGAGCCAGGCGGTACGTCAGTCAGCACTGGAATCCATAGCTGCCCTGTTAGGACATTAGAAGTTGCTTGCTACTTACCACTTTCTTGCCTATAAAGGCAAATACTCCAGCAGTGACCTCAGCCGCAAATATCACCAACAAGCAAGCAAAGAACTGCAGAGGAAGAAAATAATATTATATTAATATACCACGCACAATTCTGCTTTATATGGACTGCCAGTCAGTCCCTCATCCTTGCCCAGGCCTCAACAGCCCACTCAGCAACTGAAAGAAAGCTGGTAAGCAGCGTCCCTAACAAGGGTGTCAAGTCAGATTTGTTGTAATATAGAAACAAAGGTGGAAATGGCAAAGATGTGGCTCAGATGGTAGCTTCAGGAAAGACAGAAGCTAATTCCAGGAAATATATCACATGAGACAAGCAATGGAACTTCTTCATGTATGGAAACTCTGCAATAGCATGGTGGCTAGAGATGCTGGATTGGCCAATAAAAGCACATAAGACATTTCAGGTCTTGGACAGCAAAGATCTTTCCACTAATGACACAAAGCATAGTCTTTTGAATGATTTTCCCGTGCAGCCCAGGCCCTTGAAACCTTTTACTTACTGCTCCAATTAAGCACTGAGACTCCCGCGCTGCTCCACAGCATCCAAAAAATCCAACTGTGGTCATGAGAGCCCCTGCTCCCACCAATACATAGAGTCCTATGAAAAATCAGAATCAGACAAGAATTTAAGAAGGTTTCTCTTCCCAAAGTTTGGTGCCTATTTTGTCAAACCAACACATTTGTAAGTAACAATGGTCTCTGGCTCTCACAAAGGACACCCATTACACAGAAAAGTTGCTCTTGTCACAAAACGATTGTCACAATGATTTCTTCAGAATTCTTGGAGAATCTCATGAAGACACATGAGAAGACTTCCACCTCCCAAGTTTCCTCTCCCAAGGGCAGCTCAGTCCAGGAAGAACATATACCATACCATACAGAAACACCTTACAACTCTTCAGTGAGGAACATAAGGCAAAAAAAATCTAACATTGCTAGAGGGCTTATTTCTGTGAAACCTGGGGCTGGAAATGTGCTGTACTGCTATGTAGGGGTAGAACTTCCACAGCTACCTGGCAGCTATGCTCTATCCATTGCCTGGCAGGCCATAAAAAAGACATTTGAAGATCTTCAGGAAAGGTACAGGCACTACAGTGTGCTGTTCCTCTGAAATCAGTGCTTTGGCTGGGAAAAAAGCGGATTGCTATTGGAAAGAAGAGCATGATTGGGGGAACCCCTTGAACACTGTTGGAGGAAATGAATGAAAAAATTAATTTGCACCGTCTGGCAAAATAATGAGTAGGAAGAACAGCCTGGGGGAGGTCATAAGCTCAGCCATAGTCCTAAGCTTTGTCACTGCAGAGAATGGAAGCTTGTTTACAGTTCAGTGATTTGGAGCATGGCATCTTCCTTCTACAATAAATAGCTGCTTTACTGCCTGCTGGGCAGGCGTAGTCCAGCATCATTAATTTACTTTTTTTTCCCTCCAACATACTCATGCAAGTGTCAGAATATGAGCTACCAGCAGCTTTTAAAGGCTAATGTTATCAGTGCACTATGATCAGAAGATTTGGAGAAGAGTTGCCTGAAAATGGATAGAATCACAGAACCAGACAAATCACATCAGATATTCAAAGAAGGTGATTCTGTGTGAAAGGAGTAGAGTGTCTAGGACTTAGAAGCCAAGACCCTTCCATGCATGGCCTACAAACAGCATCTCATGATGCATGCTGCCCTCATCTGAACTGCAGCATACCCTCCCACCACTTTATTTCAATAGGCAGAATCAGAGTGGCTCTGCAGCAGCCAGTGGCAACACTGCACTGCCTTCATATTCTGGACATTCCCAGTTAAGTGTTATGCAGGTACTGAATCATTTAGGGGACTTGAGACTACTGGCAGATGAAATTATTTGTGTGTAGACAAATTTAATGACATAAAGAAAGAACAGCAAATAGTGGATCATCAGAGTAAACACATTAAGAAGATAATGAAGCAATCTGGTGATGAGACTGCCAGCAAAGACCAGGCCTGAGACAAGTACAGAACATTGGAGATGTCAGTGTAGCCCCTTACATAGTTACAGATCTAGGACGCCAGCTATGTGCAGAACTTGACAGGACAAAACCTGTAGAGGTCAGGGGAATAGCATTCATCTCTGCAACCTGTAAAACTAATAGAAATACTCACATTCAACAGGCTTTTTTTTTTTTTTTTAATGGGCTTTATCTAGGACAAAAGGAAACCCGAGCACAGATTTTTTCTTTCCTCACTTGTAAATTTACATGCTTGATCTGTGCTTAACCAATACATCCATTCATGTGAGGTGTCGGTTCCCATCAGACCACAACAACTGTGTTTGTGCCTTGTCTCTGGGTACCATGTCAGCCAAAGTACAACAGACTCAGTGCACTGACTTGTAACTCTAGTCGTTGTCTTGTGCGGACAATGTGGAGGACCCACAGAAATCTGCCATGCCAATCCACTGCTAGAAAAAACAGCTTCGTTTCCCTCACGCCCTTATGAAGGGACAGCGGAGCTACAGACTGCACACACTAGAGGGCACAGTGAGCCTTCCTCCCAGCTTTGACTACGCAAACTTTTAATGAGAACATTTAGTATTCTCAATTACCAATTTAAACATTATTTTAAAATCTGGCCCAAATCTTTAGGGTTAACAGCTGCTGGCATTTACTGTTAGCAGGCCTTGTGTAACCTAGACTAGAAAGCCCTACAAATGACAGTTTGCAGCGATTGCTAGGAAAAGGAAAAAACAATCAATCAGTATATGAATGTGGAGCATCTAGCCACTCTGCCACACAGATGCAGCCTGCTTGGAGAAGGCAAACTCCTGCCTGCTGCCCATTCATTGGCGCATCACTGTCCAGTCACTGTATGTTGGCCAAATATCTACTCCAGCTATTGTGATCCTTCTCCCCTCCATCCTTCTTGCCCCAGTACCTTTCTTGTGCCAAGGATTGCTGCTGAGGAACACATTCTGCTAAACAGCAATACAACTTCTATAATTAATATGGCTTTGCCAGGTCTGTGATGCCAGATATGTGGGATTTGCTGCTGACTGTGCTGGCAGTTCATGTTCTGTATTTTCCAGGTTTTTAATATTCAGCATCTTATGACTTACTAGGACTGAGCATTCTTCAAGCTAATACTTGTACACATATTCACAACACTGTTGTTTACTGAGGGAGGGATATACAAAGATATATATGGCTCAGGAGTAAAGGTCAGCCCCTTGTGGAAGATGAATTGGGAAAGACAAAACACTTCTCTCAGGTGCAGAACCTGCTGTTCAACTGCCGAACACCAGAACTGCCATTTTCTCAGATCTCCATGGTAACAAACAGACTGTAATTACAAAGATGTTTCCTGAACCCGTTTCTGCATGTCACTCCCTAGTCCAGTCCCTGTAATTACTTATCAGTCAACTTAGCAGAGAGACTTTTTGATTAAGAAGGCTGGAAAGAAGTCTTCCCATTTCTTTTTGTTGCTTTCAGCTAGCAAAGACAAAGTTCTCTGAGGCTCAGGGGTGAGACCACTTTCAGGAATTTGGATTTGCTTCTGTCTGAGAAACAGACTTAACATTTCACTTGCATGACTCACAGCTAAACCGCTACCTCAATCAGAACTTCCCTTTTAAGGCGTGTTACAGGAAGAACTCACACAGCTCACTAAACAAAGCTGAGCTTGCTGTGTGTCTGGCCCCACAGCGGAGCCAGCCAAGAGTTTAGAACCACCTTCTTCCATCTTCTGTTAAGGAGAGTTCATTCCAGACTTTGTCCTTTTTCAGCCTGGGACTAGTAGTTGCTGATACTTGGAGAGCTATTTCTAGATGGAAAATAATGACAACACTTCAAAAAAAACCCCCACAAAACTAAAGATGTTTTTACTCATCTGCTATATGTGCACATATGTAATCTTTCACACAGGAATGAGACATTTGAAGAGTAGCTTGAAAAAAGTTCAAAGGGACCAGGTTACTTCTCGGCTTGCACTGTGAGGTTTCCTAGAACCCAGATCCAGGTACACTCAACTGGAAGATGATTTCCAGGAAGGGTATCAAAGCAATAGATTCAGAAACATCCTAGATAGTATAACTGTGTAACACAGGGAGTGAGTATTTATTTTTGTAGTGGGCTATACGCAGTAATGTAGGCATATTTCTCTTACCTAGAGACGTCATGCACTAATTAGCCATCAAGTTAGCCCAGTTAGGATCAGCAAAGCAGACAAATGCAGAAATGTGGTGGTGTTAATGTCATACATTGCTCTGCAGTAGTATCATGTGTCAGATGTTACTAAGCTTCGCTAAACCCTGTTCCTTTCCAAAAAAGCAGGACGGAAAGCAAAGGCTTAATCAGCTTCTATTCATAAGCACTTCCATTGTAAAATACAAAGCCTTGGCATGGCCTCCAATTTGGCATCTACAGCACAGCAGAGAAACAAAAAAGACAATTTATAGTCGCAAAACTAACATGTTTGATAGCTAGAAACTCCAACACAAAAAACTTCACCACAAAGCTCTGCATGGCAAAAAGAAATGTGCAACTCAGGTCAAGGTAGAGAGCTAATTTCATAAATGGACTGTCTAGCTGCAGCTTTTTGTGCAGCAGAAGTAAAAAAGTAGAAGGTAGAAAGGAAGCCAATGTTTGTGGCCTGTGTGAAGTGAAATTTTTCCTCTTACCTCCACTTACCTCTGTTCATTTCCTGATTCTTAGTTTTGTCACTTTGATCTGTGTCTGCTAATGAAGAGGAGAGAGGGTTTGACAACTAACTAGTCTCTGAGTTTGTTGGCAGCACGCAGCCCACACAGGAGCAGACAACAGACGAAGAGAGAATACTGAGAACAGGCACACTGCTATGGCATTAAGGTGGGGATTCAGTGGACCTAATGGCAGAAATCTGTCATCTGTGTGACTGCCCACAACTCAGGAATATTTATTGCACTTGCATGCAGGACCCACAAAGCCAGTCACTCTCAGTCCCTGTATGCAAAGGGATGAAGAGGCACATTCCAAAGAATTAAAAGCCATGTGCAAAATGCAACAGCAAATTGGTTGATCTGAGCAGATGCAGCCAGGACACCGATGACTATGCAGGGTAGTGGAGGAAATACAGGCTTTTTGTAAACACAAGAGAATGAAAAACAAAGTGTTGTAGGACTGGGTTGTTTCTTTTTTTTTTTTTGACAGAGCCTATTCCCTTGACCTTTTTTGTGGGGAAAAATTCAGGTTTGGGGTGGTGGTTTTGGGTTGTTTTGTTTTTTGTTTTAGCTGTGCTAAAACACCTACCCAGACAAACACACAGATTTTTATAAGCTGTGAAGAGAAACTAACACTTCTGCTTTTAGCAGTAAGTCAAGTAAGAGAACACTTAATAACAAATTGATTTCCCTTCTGGCTAAAACATAGAGTGTAAACGGATTGGGGGAACCCTGTACTTCAACCATTGTTTCATTTTGCAAAGAAAAAATTTGGAAAGCAGTAAAGAAGCATCTTTTCTATATACTTGATTTTTTGATTCATCCCATGGGAAAAATCATTATTTCCTGAAAGGAGAATGTCAGATGGGGGTATTCCCTGTGGAAATTCCAACAGGAGGGAGTCCCATTTTCTAGCAGACTCTGCTTTGCAATTACAA